TGCCCAGCGGTCAGCCGGCCCGCTCCCGGCGCCGCCGCCCGCTGTCGCAGCAGCTCCGCAGCGTCGCCGCTCTCCATTCGGTGTCGGTTGACCAGGTGTCTCTTCAGGTTGCCCATTTTGCCGAGAAAGCGGCCGCAGATGTGGCACGACGTGGTGCCAGAGTGGACGCGCTCATGGGCGCTGCGGCTGCTGGAGCTGCGGTACACGCGGCCGCACAGCCGGCACGGGAACGCGTCACCTGCCGGTACAGGGAACTCGCGTCACCTGCCGGTACAGGGAGCTCGTCACCTGCCGGTACAGGAAAGTCGTCACCTGCCGGTACAGGGAACTAGTCACCTGCCGGTACAGGGAACTCGCGTCACCTGCCGGTACAGGGAGCTCGTGTCACCTGCCGGTACAGGGAACTTGTGTCACCTGCCGGTACAGGGAATGCGTCACCTGCCGGTACAGGGAACTCCTGTCACCTGTCGGTACAGGGAACTAGTAACCTGCCGGTACGGACAAACGTCATCTGGCAGAGACCGCACAGGACAGCATCACCAATGACCCGCATCAGATCCAACGGGAGACAAGCGACGGGAGATCAGGACGGCAAGAAGTGGGATTTTTTCCCCGGCGTATTCTTCGGAACAAGGTCAAGCGATTAAAGGAACTCATAAGGTGAAAGTGGATACTGCTTGAGGGTTCGGCTGCTCTTGTGTCTAGTTCAAGCCCCTGTAACATTGACAAAGGCGTTCAACTCCTTCCATGTTCCGTCTCTTGAAGCTCAATGCGCGGAATTGGACTTGCTCTTTTAAAGATTTTTTTTTTGTTTAAAAAGTTTCATTTTGTTGTTGTTTCTTGATAAGACCAGGCCAACAAGCTAGAAACGTCAGCCTGTTTCATACTCCGATTGTACTGTACGTGAATTCACGATAATGATATATCCGGGAGCGTTCGCCAGTCATGCAACAGTCGTAACCGATTTTACGTAAACGACAGAATGCCAGTGGAGCTTCAAAAAGTTTTGAACTTCTAACAATTCATTTGTTTCGGCTAATAGGTACTTTCAGTATGTAGAAGGGATTTACCGTGCGTCTCTTTGCCACAGTGAATGGACGATTACTCCTAATAACGTATGAGTGTGGTGTTTTTCATGTTGTGTGCATGGGTGTGTGCGGGCCTGCGAAACAGTTCCCATTTGCATCAGAATGCTTCACCTGTAAGCCGGTGCCCTTTTTTAGATTTACATGAGAAGATAGGAAGGCATACCTAATACCTACTTCTGTTATGTTTCTCGCTTAGCTTGACTCTGACGAAAAATACGCATGATAAAAACAGGAGTGGTTTAATAAAATTTATCCAAATAAAAACCCGACTTGCTTTGTTGCTCTGCGGGAGACAATTGTTAAAAAGGAAGGTGGAACTTGTTCTGCAGCGTTGTTACATAAGTTAAAAATATGATACCTATAAAATAAACAATGATGACCGTAGATCATTGGTCTAGAGCCAAACTACGAATGAGACAAATATTAGGTCGTTCAATAAGTAACGAACAATCGGTCATAAGTTCTTTATTTCTTTATTTAACACTTTCAAACTTTCACAGATTATAGATCAGACATTTCTGAATGCAGCCTATGCCTCAAACCAGTCGCCGCCCGCCTGCACACACTTCTCCCAGCGTTCCGGCCAACGCCGGAATTCCGCCCGAAAAAACGCGTTTTCCGTCTTTTTCACCCAGTTCTTGACAGCGCACCTGACTTCAGCGTCGGTCTCGAAGTGTTCACCACGGAGGCCATCCTTCAGGGGACCAAAGAGGTGAAAATCTGAAGGAGCCAGGTCCGGACTGTAGGGCGGCTGGGGCATGATATTCAGCCCTGTCCCGCGATCTCCTCGCGTGTGGCGTGAGACATGTGCGGACGAGCGTTGTCATGGTGTCATCCTGGTGGGCTTTCTTGAACCTGGGCGGACTATGGACAGCGGGCCGCTGCATCACAGTCCTGCAGGAGACTGAGAAAAGCAATCCTGAAGAAGAGGCGCGGCTCGGATGTCAACAACATCACCATACACCATGACAACGCCCGACCGCACTTGTCTCACGCCACGCGCGAGGAGATCGCGTGACAGGGCTGAATATCATGCCCCAGCCGCCCTACAGTCCGGATCTGGCTCCTTCAGATTTTCACCTCTTTGGTCCCCTGAAGGATGGCCTCCGTGGTGAACACTTCGAGACCGACGCCGAAGTCATGTGCGCTGTCAAGAACTGGGTGAAAAAGACGGAAAACGCGTTTTTCCGGGCGGAATTCCGGCGTTGGCCGGAACGCTGGGAGAAGTGTGTGCAGGCGGGCGGCGACTGGTTTGAGGCATAGGCTGCATTCAGAAATGTCTGATCTATAATCTGTGAAAGTTTGAAAGTGTTAGATAAAGAAACAAAGAAGTTATGACCGATTGTTCGTTACTTATTGAACGACCTAATACATTCTGGTATACCTAATTGGTATACCTAACTGGTGGAGGCGAGAGTTCAGCACGCCACAAAAGCATCGATCTACGTATACACAATAAACAAACAGCTTTGCAAAGCAAAATATATTTTTGTTCATCGAATGGCGTTCCACATTACCGAAAACAACTGAACATTTCCAGAGCCGCTCTACATACCTAATACACTATATACCTACCTATGCACAATGCACATACAGGCGCCATTCTAAAACTGGAAAGGTTGTAACCGGAACTACTGATGAAGATAGTGGGATAACAGTGTTTGTAATATGTGTATAAAACTGTGTGTGTTTGTGTGTAGTGTGTTCCAAAGTCCTAAGTTTTACAATTTATCATGGCAGTTTTCCACGCAGTATCATAATCAAAAGGACGTTGCGCATCATTGTCAGCGATGCCATACTTCCCGACCATTTAACGCAGGTGAATAACACGACACGGTAGTTTGAGAAATACATAGACACAATGTAAACCCTAAGGAAGAGCTAACAAAGCGTACCAGGGGGTGTTCTAGGCAAATTCACGTTAGGTAGACAGGCCAAAGATGAATGGACCATGAATGAGCCGGCGCGGCCATTCAGCACTTCTAATGCCGCAAGCGACAGAACCACACAACAGCCACAACTTTGACCAAACTACACAGTGCAGGCCACATTTAGTAAAATAAGAACTAAATATCAAACGCAATATCATGTTCAATAACCATACAGTAGATCGGTAGTGGGTACTAATAAACCTGCATTTCCACTTGAAGTTGGTTATGTCCAACTTTAACTATAAATAAACTTCAATCAAACGAGCAATTCTTGAACGTTGGTGAATGCCACAAACGTTCCTGTCCGCATTCACGATCGATGGCACTACGAACAATTCGTAACCATAAGTCGGAAAACAGAATCTAAACACATAATTGACGCCTCACAGATGGTAGATGGATGGACAGTGCGGGCATGCTTGGTTTGCGGATCTCTACGTAAGAGTTAGTCGGGAGTATGCGTATTGTGTATTAAGTACATCTACTATGCACACTTACACTATCGTTTCTCTGAACAGGCATTGGCATGTGTTCACGAGGACAAGTCAAACCCAGCCCCATCCCCTGCACGATTACCCCCATGTAGTTGACAGCGCCGGCACTGGGACACCTACCTACTCGAATTCGTCTGACCGCGCCTGGGTTCCCTCGGCCTGCTGCGCAGCCGGTGTCGGTGCCGGCGGAGGGGGCGGCGGCAGGGGATGCGGGGGATGCGGCAGCCGCACCAGGGACGTGGTCCGCGGTAGCTGCGGGAACAGCGCCGGCGACGAGTGCCGAGCGGCCATCGTCTGCAGCGCCATCCCAGACACCGAGGCCATGGTCGGGAGCGCCGTCCCGGGCAGCGGCGCCGGCGGCGGCTGCTCGCCGCCGGCCGGCTCCGCCTCCTGGTGGTGTTTGTTGATGTGCCGGTTGCGGCTGCTGACCGTGCTGAACACCTTGCCACAAGCCTCGCAGACGGTGCGCCCGCTGTGGATGGACATGTGGTTGACCAGCGAGCCGCGGTTCGAGTAGGCGGCCGGGCAGTGCGGGCAGCCGAACGGCGTGTCCACGCCGTGAGGACGCCGCCGCAGACCCTGGCCCGTCCCCGGGAGCAGCACGTCCGAGCCGAACGGAGACCGGTCTGCAACAGAGGCGCCGTCAGGCGGGGACTGCCAGTGGCTGGACGGCGGAGGTACTAAACATAGACCGGTCAGGATCGCAGGCGCCGTCAGACGGGCACTGCCAGCGGCTGGACGGCGAGGGCGCAGTACACAGACTGGTCAGGATCGGATGGGCCGACGGAAGGGGATTGCCTGCGGCACAGACTGGTCAGGATCGGAGGGGTCGACGGTCGTAGGAGTGCCGCAGCTGTCCAGGGGTCAGAGCGGGGGCCAATACAGCGTTGCAGTTCAAAGAACAGGAAATGAGCTGGAAATGCGGAAATGCGCCAGTACATCGCGGGAAGGACATGATAAGGTCAGAAGGCCGAACGTTTAAGCTCCAGCATGGACGTAGCGCTTGCCAAGATTTTATGCTGTAGACAGCACCACTGAAAGAGAATCACTTCCATAGTGAGTCTACACTAACCTAACGTCGGTTGTGATTTGAAGGCGAATCGACTCAAAATGCGTCATAAACTATCAAGTCTGACGTGCCCCCATCGCCGCGTGATGACGAATTTCACCTGCTCGCATCAGCAACCAGTGCGGTTGCACCAATTCAGTCAGTAGCCTACAATTATCAGTTTAGGTGCTGCGACAAAAGACTGATACTTACAGACCCTGATGTGTACCAACAGCACCATGTCGCCCCAGTAACAAATTTATACCCATACATTCTTCATGTGCATTGTTGTAACAGATAACAGAAAACAAGAGGCATTGTGCCCGCGCAAATACTCGCGAGGTGAAATGTTTCACCGTATGTATCCAGCCCGATCTCCTTCGTGGCCTGATCTCAGTGTCTTCACATTATCAGCCGACGTCCACAGTAAAGACAATCCATTAGCAAACAGCGTGTATTGAACATGGAAAGAGCTTGTGTGCTTAGTGAAAATTTCTCCGATATCTTAGCACAATATGAGAAGCATGGTAAACCAGCGACGACCGATCATACAGCATGGTGACAAACAACGCGTTTTACTGATGGCATCGTCACATCATAGCGGCACTTCACACCAAAACATGTACAAGAAGTCTAAAAACCGCAGGTTTCAATGGTATGATCGGTCAATGATCATGGCAAATGACCCACGCGTTTAAGCAAGAAGTTCATATGGCATTGACTTTGGTAATTCCACACTAGTCGCTTACTATGCTGACAGTCACATACCACTAACACGCATACCTATAAGCTAAAGTGAGATTTAGGCATAACAGAATAGCGTCTCAATTGAATTGGATAAAAAGATCCAGCATGATCAGCAGCCTTCCTGGGTTTGACACGCAGTCGGAAGCGTATCATGACCGTCTCGGCGTCTTGTACAAATCAGGCGCCGCCGCAATCCCCACCAATCCATTCACAACGCTTTGAGAAAATGATCCGCCTTTACCGCGACAAAACAGTATCCAACTACCTATGAACACCAATCACCATTCTCATGTGCCTGCGCCCAGTAAGCTGCCAAAAGCTGTTGTCCCCCACCACCACCGTTCACCGTACACCAGTCCAGGAGGCCAACTTTGATGTCTGGCGCCGCGCACACACCGATGACAGCGATGGTGGCTCATTCCGAGGGCGCCCGGACAGCGTCGGTCGTCAGCGCCCACGCGCCACTGTGCTGCCCCTCTCAGTGTCTGGCGTCGTGCACGCTGGGCGGCGCCTCGGCGTGCACACTGCGCACATGGTGGTTGCGGCTGCTGATGGTGGCGAACCGTTTGCCGCAGAACGAGCAGAGCGTCTTGCCCTCGTGCGTCTCCAGGTGGTGCCGCAGGGAGTCGCGGCTGGCGTACGTGCGGCCGCACCGGTCGCAGGCCAGGCTGGCGGTGGTGGTCGGCGGCGGCCAGAGCGGCAGTGGCAGCGGCAGGCCGCCCACTCCCAGAGGCCGCGGCGGCCAGTGACCTGCGGACACGGACGGGCAGACGTCACAGCGACAGCACCCTCCTCAGCGGGCCATCGGCGGCCAGGGACCCGCCGGACCACGGGCGGTGAGACGGTGACCTGCCACAACCCACACGATCACAGCTACAAACTCTTCACCGAGGGACGGGAGACGGTGGTGCCGGAAGCCGGTCTGAAGGTCGAATCACTGGTGATGTTAGGGAACATTTGATAAGGGCAAAGGAAATTATAGTGATGCAGCGGCTACGGGATAAAGATAAAAAACGTTTCAAACTGGTAGTCCCAGACTGTCACAACCTTTCCCTCAAATAGGAACTGAACCAGAGAGCTACTTCCGTCAGGTTTCCACAACGTTATTCCATCGTGAAAACTTACTCATCGATAAGACACAGTAGATGTGGAGTAACGCACATGTAATGCATTGATTGGGCGACACCGATGGTATATCTGCCCCTCCAGATCCCTCAAGGATTAGTTTCAAGTTGTGTGCATAATGACCTTGCTGTCAAAGCACCCCTCGGTCCAAACAAGGAATAAAAAAAAAATATACTACAAACCACACGCCGTTGTTTTAGAATGACAATACCCGCCCGAGATCGAATCACATCTAACCACTCGCTAAACCGTTGTGAATCTCGGTACACTACCTACAAAACTCACCTTTCAAAAATTTATCACCACGGCTGGCCAGATCAATTAAAAAGAATTGTAAAATACGAAATGATGTATATGTATTTAACACCTGAGGACAACGCATTGAACATTAAAAAAGTTGAACAACGAATAAGGTTTTTGAAGTCCGTCTAGGTGCTAAAAAGATCAATGGAATCGAATACTCTGACGACGTTTAATGAAGACCGCAACACAATCAACTCTTTAACGAAATACAATATCCAGAGTGAAAACAAAGAGCTGTGGCAGATCCAACCTAACCCATTGCTTGGAGTAGCACACGTTGTACTTCAGTTCTCAGTGATCAGAGAGTGTCTCCTTTGCCCGCCCAAATTTACTAGGTATTCCGGTAGCCATAGGGGTACTGATTTGCACTCATTTGCAGAGTCCGGCCTCTGCTGGTGGCCGCGGTCCCTGGTGCGGCTCCCTGCCAGGACACGCCGTCCCTTTCAGGGAGATACAGCACCTCTCTGAGCGCGGCACCCGTCCCTGCGGGCGGCACCCGACCGGCGCCCTGCCCGCCACTGCCGACCGGCGTCGACCCCGCCGGCCGGCAGGGGCACGTCTGAGCGTGCCGGCTGCGGTTGCTGGCCGTGGCGAACGTCTGCTGGCAGTGCGGACAGGTGGTCTTCCCGGCGTGCGTCTCCACGTGGTGGCGGAACGAGTCGCGGCTCCGGTAGCTGCGGCCGCACAGCGTGCACACCAGGCGTCCGTGGGCGTCCAGCGCGCTCAGCTGCGGCAGCTCGGCCGCTGCGCGACACACGACACCGTCAGCGGGTCAGCGGACAGCCCGGCCGCTGCGCGACAGACGACACCACGAGCGGGTCAGCGGACAGCTCGGCCGCTGCGCGACACACGACACCGTCAGCGGGTCAGCGGACAGCTCGGCCGCTGCGCGACAGACGACACCGTCAGCGGGTCAGCGGACAGCCCGGCCGGCGCCGCCAGCTCGGAGAGCAGTCTGAGGCCGCGGACACGTCTCACCGGGAACTCGAGTAGATTTTGACATGACAGGCTATGAGTAGGACTATGAATATACAATGTCGCTTTAGGATCATGATCCTTAGTGATGAAGAAAAAGTCGGGTCGCAAAAATGGTCGGGCAAAAATGACGTTTGCCGTGCACGGAAGCTCTATGAGCTTTTATGGCGTATTTATCACTTCACAGAAGTGCTCGTTAAGACTAAACCGTCAGTTGTGCTAGTGATGAGGCTATTGTTTAGAGACGAAGATGACTGAGATACCTACATGTAAGGGCATTGGTGGCGGACAAGAAATTCGAAGTGCTATGTTCTATGCTCAGTTCTATTTTCAGACGTCACGCTTGATGACACGTGCGAATACCAGAACCACAAATAATTTTATTCTAGAAATACACAGACATCCCACCACATTGCGAATCACCACTCCATTGCTCACGGCGTCCAGTCCCAGTCGACTCAGCTGGGGCCGGGCTCCAAAGAATGATGATTTACAACCGCTCGTCCAAAAGTCAGCCGGGATTTACAAAGTCGCCTGCAATTACTCACGCCCTTCCCGATGGCTTGAAACAGTGCCATAGCCGAGCACTATCTCCCGGACACTTCTTTGACATTTCCAGCACAAATGAAGCATTTCTGTGACTTCATGAACGAAAAGCCCCCCGCCGCAAAGCATTTCTGTGACTCTCATGAACGAAACGTCCTCCCCCTGCCGCAGACATTCAGTGATGCATCACACCCTTTCCAGAACGCAGAATTGATGCAACTCAAATGCATTAATGCTGACAGGTGCCTTCACATAGTCACCTTCCACACATCAAGCTCAGGTACAGCACCGAAGAAGACAAAGAGGTCCTTGAGAACAACCAGACCCCCATACCGCCGTCCGCCACCATCTTTCACCAGACCACTGTGACCAAACAGAGTATCCTCGCCGCGGCACTCCGCTCCACCCGAGTCCGGGGCTCACGAGTGTCCCCGCCGCGCCGCGGCACTCCGCTCCATCAGAGTCCGTGGCTCACGAGTGTCGCCACAGCGGGGAGGAGCCGGGCCAGCCGGAGCCGGCCGAACGCTGCGCCGGCCGCGGCCGGCTGTGGCAGGAGGCGGCGTGCCGGTTCCGGCTGCTGGCCGTGGCGAACGTCTGCTGGCAGTGCGGACAGGTGGTCTTCCCGGCGTGCGTCTCCACGTGGTGGCGGAACGAGTCGCGGCTCCGGTAGCTGCGGCCGCACAGCGTGCACACGAACAGGCCCGCGTGCATTATGGCAGAGCGCGGGGTGGGCGGTAGCGCCGCCGACTGCGACGTACCGACGCCTGCAACAGACACGACAGCGTCACGGAGGTGACTCAACAGACACAGCAGCACCGGCCAGCAGCACCGGCAACTGCGGCGTGCCGACGCCTGCAACAGACACCGACAGCGTCACGGAGGGTTCCACAGTGTAAGCAGCGCACAACCATAGGCGTAATAAACCTATGGACCGAAATCTTAGGGTAAGAGACAATGGGACGGGAAGAAACAGGATGTGATGCAGATCAGTGTTCGTGAGGTTAGATAAGATTCAGTGCTTATATCGATTATCATAACCGAAAGTTGTATGAAGTGGAACGGACAAGCTGTCTCCACGTATCCCAAACAACTTGCAACGGCCATCGACTCCCTCCCCTCCGTAACAATGACTCGATGGGCTAGGTGTACCAGTTCCTTCCTTCCTTCGCTTGAGAGAATCGGAAGTGAAACAGTGAGACTAGGCTAGTCTTCATTCCTTTTAGCACGGCACATGTACCGATAAGTCAAGGCCACCGAGGCGAGTATCAGCCCCGTTCGTATCCAACCCGGCGTCCATCAAACCTCCACATACGAGTATCACAGCCACAGTCTGGGACTGGAGAGGAATGTGGAAATGACTGGAGGGAGCGCGAGGAAAGCGTAGCGCAAGAAGACAAAACAAAAAGCTGGGACTGGCCAACTGCCAACAAGTCCTGGTGGTGTGCTGAGGCTCAGTCATTATGTTCTGACGGAGGAACAGGTGTTTGAGAATAATTTTATACCCGAGCACTTACATAAATGCTACAACTTCCGAGCAATTATTCCGTTACTTACCTAGACTCAGCACTCCACACTGGGGATGCTCTGAACTCAGTCACATTGCGCCATTGTAGGTAAATAAGTCCATACTGAACTGCCGCCTTTTGGTTACTCACATGAAAATTTGACTTTATCTCATGACAATCGATGTGATGCTGAATAGCGTGTGGCCAAAAGACTACTGGAAGTAAGATACACAGTTTATTACCTTTAGAAAATCTGCACGAAGTGGTGAGAGGCGGCATGCATTCGAATCTGTTCATACTATGTGCTACCAGTCTCCAACAAAAATCACCAACAACATTAATAATGAAAAATACGAAAACGTATACACTCGCATTGATCAGTATAAAATATTCCCCTCTATTTGAAATAATATGAGCTCAAAATCCTGTCATTAGGTGTGAGGACGGATGTTAGCATGCCACATTTATTTACACAAAACATTCCTAGACAAACCAGGAGACACAAAACATATTGTACGAGAGAACGAAACGAAAATAATTACACAGCTCGCACAGCAGCAAGTATTCTTCAGGACACTAAACTATCCTTCTAATAATAACGCTGGCGGTGACACGAATAACACAATTGTTGGACGACAGTTAAACGCGCTCGGCCACGTCACTGCAAGCTATACAGATGTTTACACTAATAACATAAGACTAGAAATGGCTATCACACCATAAATAACACATCGACATAAATGCTCTCCGAGAACACCTATCATCTAGTGAAATACCACCTCATTTTAAACGGTGGAGCTACGCAGTTCAGTGCTCCAGAGCATGTTCTGCGCAATGCATTCAATTGTTAAGGGATCCATTGACACATTAGACACAACTTATCAATGAGCATCCATCGCATTATCAAAGCCAAGAAGCCAATAAGCTCTCATCGGGGACCGGGGCACGGCAGTAGCTCTCATCGTTCATGACCAGCAGACGTGTACATAGCCATACATAGCCTCTACCTGATCCCGGTCCCAAGAGGGCCTCTCACACACCGCGCGCTCACCAGGTCCTCGGATCACCAGGCAGTGGACGGCGGTCCCCCGGGATGGCCCGGCGCCAGTCTCGGGGTATCACCCGTCCCCGTATCACCAGTTGGCCGCGCCGGGCCCCTCGGGGTGCGCCGGCGCCGGCCCGGGCGCGCCGTGGTGCTGCCGCATGTGCCGGTTGCGGCTGCTGGTGGTGCCGAACACCCGGTCACAGACGGGACAGCGCGTGTTGCCCCGGTGAATCTGCAGGTGGTGCAGCAGC